ATGCGCCTTGACAAGCTCTACAAAAGTCTCTTAAGTTAGAAAAGTGATTAACTTAGTATAAAAAAAGTTTTAGATGCGTGCATACCACATTTGGGCCAATAGTAAATTTTATTTATAAAATTTTGCAGATTTTCTCCAGGTGACAAATGGATTATCAATTAATTATAAATTAAATAAGATTACCAATATCTTGTTGTAAATATAAATACAAACTTTATATTGGGGTTTAAAATTTCAACTGATAATTATATTATTTATATATATATATATATTATTAAGATAATCTTTTGATCAGAGTTTTTTATTAGATTATCAAATTATTACATATCATTATTGTACTTTACTAATATAATACTTTATATTAAATACCCTTTTAGGACTTACTATTTATAGTCTATCCTTGAGATAAATATAACAGAGTGATGAATTTATTTACTTGTATATTCTGTAACATCTTTTCTAACTAATACCTGTTGTGTTGCTATTATCTGGGTTTGTATTTCAAGCTACTTTTAGAATACTGCCATAATCCGATCTATATCTTAAACTTTTTTCAACCTTCCTAATTAGTTGCATATTACTTACTTCTGCTTTTATTGGGTTCATAATTAGTTCTGATACCTACCTCTTTTTTGATGTATAAGTTTGGCTCTGAAAACATTTCTATTTCTAATCTAGTTAGCTCTGAAAAATTTTCTCTACTAATAGCCAGATTGGTGTAATCTGAACCTATAAGAGTCATAATTATTGACCTCTGGTTGAGTTTTTAATATAGTCTTCTATTCCATAGTACTATTAAAAGTTAGCTATTATTCTTAATTTAGAACTTCCCAAACAGGTTTTCTGTATACAAAAGAGATTTCTTGAGATTTATACAATATTGAACTTATCAAGTGTTTGTACTGCTCTAAACCAGTTTGTATTCTTTCATAGTTTTTAAGTTTTTCCAAATCATATGAACAGCAATAGATCTTCTAGAAATATGCCCTGGTGCAACTTAAATTACAGATTTCTCTAATCTGATTATTTTATACAGATTATTATAATACAAGCCTATTTTCAAAATCATTGTCCATGGAATTTGAACTCTAAACCTGCCACTTGAAAAGGGTAACAACTAAACCACTTTATTAAGTTGTCACACCTTTTTAATAATTATATTTTTGTATAATTATAACAGCATTTTAAATAAAATTTTTTAGATTTTCATATATAAAATAATGAATTTATTTATATATCGCACCATATATTATAATTTTATATCACACCTAAGATGTGACACTGGTATATATTGCATATATATATTACACCTAAGATGCGATACTGGTATATATCGCATATATATATTACACCTAAGATGCGACACTGGTATATATTACGTATTACAATTTTAAATTAGACCAGATATAATATCTATACTATATAGTACATATTAATGTTACATTATCTCAAAAACTAGCTAATAAATTAGTATATATACTCTAAGTAAAAATTTTCTACTCTCTTAAAAGCCCTTTCCAAACTCTAACCCTAAATAATAACTCTAGATAAGGTACAAAACCACTATAAATGCGCTTAACCTTAACATGACAAAAAAGACTTTAGTTCTATCCTAAGGAAATTATTTAAATATATCAATCTGCTATAATCTATAGCATGTATAGTACGTATAGTACACAAATACACATGTACAACCAAGATCAAAATATAGACTTAATTGTTCAAGATTAGTGATCTTGAAACTTGTTATTATTAGTGCAAAAGCAAACAATTTTTGATAAGAGTTTGGAACCGGTAATATTCTTTGCATGTTAAAACCGATTGATTCCAAACTTTAATAATCATGTGAATAATTACAACTTATAGATTATCATATTACTTTAATTTTATTAGAAAAAAAAAATCTGTTTTATGAATATCTACATACGTATATACGATTTCATTTTTTATGAAATGCTGCGTTATAACCAACTTGGCCACATATACAATACTTGTAAGATCCACGAGTTGAATTCCCACCATGACTTTGCTCTTTTTCAATACTGCTCTCGTAATGGCGTTTTGGAGACCTGCCTCTTTCGATAACTTTAGAGGGATTTTGAATGTTAACAAACCCTGTTGAAGTATACTCATTTACTTCATATACTTGCTCTTCTTCTCTATTATCTTGATTAACGTATTGTTCAATTGTATTAGGGGTTATCGAAACAGATTGCTGATTTATCGCTACTAAATCCTTGATTTGCATAGAGTCATTTACCAGTGTTCTAATATCTTCTTTTTTATTTTTCAGCTTATTAATATACTTCGTCAGGATTTAAATTATTTCGTAGTCATCATTATCCACAGCAAGCAGAGTTGCTTTGTGTGCAAGTCCCCAAATTTGTCCATATTGGTTCCTTTTGTAAATAGTTTTCTTCACAACTGAAGTAGCAACTGCTGTAGTGACTAGCATAGTGATTGGCTTACAAACTATATCATTGTTTGGGCTTAGATCAGATATGTGATTAAATTCAAGAAAGTTTTCTTCTAACACTACACAATCTTGATGTGAGTCCTTATACCAACGAATAGGAATCATTGATATGTAGAATTTTGTTACTGATGAATGCATTATAACACAGAAATAATGTCGACATACAATGCCTCTAAATATATTCATTAGACATGAACACATGAAGGAGATTAAATTAATAATCACTACAAAGTAAACATAATGCTTCTTTTCATTACGTAGGTCAGTAATTTTCCAAATCTCTCTTAAGTCCTTATGCCCAATTTCATCGATCATGGTCTGTAGCATTATATTTCACGCACCTTCTTGATCTTCTATAAATCTGGTACATGCTTGTTCAATGGTTTCCTTATTTATTGTTATTGTTAGTTCAAAAATATACATTATTAATAACATTCATTATTTATTATCTGCTTTTGAGTCAAATCTTTATTAATAGGTTCTATTCTATTCACATTCAAGAAAAGACATTCATCTATCTCAGTTTTAATTGCATTATTTATTGCTTCGGTCAGATATTTGTCTAATATTTTATAAATTGCAGAAAAAAGACTCTGGCCTGCCATAGGAACTGTTGCTATAGTAGCTGATATCTTATATTCTTGAAACCATTTCTATTGAGTCTCATCTTTTAAACGTTGGTCCAGACGGTTAGCAAGATCACACAGTATAGCATTGGCCCCTAACTCTCTTTTTATAATCCAGTTGTACTCTTCAATGCGTGCAGTACTTTCAGTACCTGCTGTAAAGATTTTAGATAAATATGCATGTGCCCACGATCGATGATTTGAGTTAAGGGCTCTTAGTAGGTAATCCTTTGTTATTGGATAATTTTTTGTAAATTGGTCCATCTTTCCTTGAAGAGTGGTTCACACAAGCTGTTTCTACATTGATAAAAGTCTTTTATAAACTCTTTCCATTTATTACCTAGCCTAGATTTCAAGTTTTTTAGAAGATTTTGATCAATGTGAAATATGCAATGAGCTGCATATATAGTTGAAACACAATAGGAATAGCAGCATCTAATGCTGGATCGGCATCTGTAAACATTACGATTGGCAGTTGACCTGTAGCTTTATTAATAGATTGGAGGATCCATATATATGTATCCATAGTTTCGTTGCTGACTAATGTTTGACAAACTAATTGTGTTCTTTTATTGTTGTCTATGATCACAAATAGACCTAGCAGCATTCAATACTGATTGGTACGTGCAGTATTATCGTTAATTACTACATCATGATATCTTAGCCACAGGTTCATCTGTTCGGGAGACATCTATAAAAGCCATATTAATCGATTTTCTTCGTCTAATTTGAATTCAACAATCCACTATGGATCTGTTGCTTTTTTTTTTGTCAATGATGTAAGTAATGTAGACGCATCATTATTTTGGTTTTGGTTTGATTTTTTAACCTTTTGAATTGCATTATGCAAATCTGTATCCTGGAAATTCAAATTAGAGAATCGGGCTCAAAGCATATTTCTTTGGGTAGTAATTGATAAATTAGCATGCTTAGTCATAATCTTAACTTCCTTTAAGCTTCTTTGCTTAATGATCTATAATTTATTCCAAATACTTGTGTTTCTTTTAAGAGCTTGTGGTTATGTTTATTAATGAAAGTGGTAATTCCAATTTTAAATCCAGGTCCATCTAAAAAAAGATCACAGTGCCATTGACATCCTTTTCTTTTCATTTTTGTGTTATGTTGCATTCCCATTTGTAATGCTATCGGTTTTTTTTGATTTATACACGCCTCTGAATTCACAGGTAAAAGTTCTACCATAGATAACGCCAGTTTTTTCATTTCGTTTTACTTTATATTTATTGATACAGAACCTATTTCTTGCACCGTACTCAAAAAAAAACTTTTCTACTTCCTCCCAGGTATTAAACGTTGTCTCTTTTGGAATATCTTTTAATGCTATAGGGTCTATTTAAATATTTTTCGTTAATATTTACATACTTGAAGATAGTATGTATATGTTTATTAATACATATTATACTATTTACTCTACTAGCTAAATTATTTTTTTCACTGGTTACTTCGTTGTCTTTTTGAGCTTCGGGTTGAATTATATTTTTTTCATTTGTATCGCATGTGTCAAATGTTACTATAAAGATCGATTTTAGGATAAGTATAACTATTGTGTTATGTAATTTTAAAGTACTTTAATGCTTACTTACTATACTGTTGCATTTCGTTTAATTCTTTTAGATCATTTTCCATTAGATAACTTGAATTTGCTTTTGTTAATTTGTTCAAGTTGGGGTCTATTATGCCGTTTAAGTTATATTCTTCTATTAGGTTATTCAAATTACTTACGCTCATCAGCAAAAATAAATAGGCGTAAACCTCCGCAAGTTTTTACGCGAGTGTAAACTTACGAAAATTTACGATTAGTT